GATGTGTCCGCAACATTTTCAAGTTCATCAAGTTATCATGACGTCATCCAGAGACCATTTTGTGAAAATCAACTCATGATTATATCTTCATAACGGAAAGTCATTTCTCATTCATATTTATCACGATCAAGGTCACTTTCCGTCCGGTCAATTTCAGGTCAATAAACGCGCGCGTACGCCAAATTTCAAAATGTTCACAATCACTTTTTAATTAAATTAGAGTACGTTTTAGGCCATTTTAAGCATTTCAAAATCAAGTTATTATGACGTCATCCAGAGACCATTTGTGAAAATCAACTCATGATTATATCTTCATAACGGAAAGTCATTTCTCATTCATATTTATCACGATCAAGGTCACTTTCCGTCCGGTCAATTTCAGGTCAATAAACGCGCGCGTACGCCAAATTTCAAAATGTTCACAATCACTTTTTAATCAAATTAGAGTACGTTTTAGGCCATTTTAAGCATTTCAAAAAAATTCGCGGGCATTTTGGTTCGTCATTGCCGTACGCAACATAGAATCGACATTTGTTTTCTGTTATCATAATCCCCATTTTTCTGAACAATTTTATACCATGTTCTCTTCATGGCCATTATTAGGGACTTAGATTTGCACGACGAGAACGTGTACTGCTATGTGTGACATCCTTTTAAGGCACTGCCAGTGCCTTCAAAGGACGTCACATTGCCTTAAAAGGATGTCACACGTCGTAGCAGTCCACGTTCTCGTCGAGCAAATCTCATCATCATCAACTTCAGGTGGCGCTGTAAAGCGCTGCTGTGGCCTTCACGAGAGCACGCCATGCAACTCTTTCAGCTGCCATTTGTGTTGCACCTTTCATTCCTTGTCCAGACACTTTCTTGATATCATCAGTCCAAGATATTGGTGGACGACCTCTACCCCGTTTTCCTTCGACTGCTCCTTGCAGTAATTGCTTCTCAATACCTTCAGATCTCCTAACAGTGTGCCCCAAATAGTTCAGTTTTCTTTCCCTTCTGATGGTCAAGTCTGTTCCAATCTTTTCCAGGACCCACACATTTGTCTTTTTATCTTTCCATGACACCTGCAACAGCCTCCTGTAGCACCACATTTCAAAGGCATCAACTCTCTTTCTGTCATTCTTTGTCATGGCCCAGGACTCAATTCCGTAAGTAGCAATAGAAAAAGAAGTTGCTTGAAGCAGACGAACCTTCAGACTAAGAGATAGGCCTCGGCTGTTCCAGATGTGGGACATATTCTGTACTGTTGATCTTGCCATTACCATCCTTCTTCTTATCTCTGTGGTGCTCTCTCCTTTGTTAATGATAATTGAGCCCAAGTACTCAAACCGGTTTACTACTTCAATCTTATTTCCAGCTACGGTGAAGTCAGTGTTATCATAATCTCTATCGACAACCATTATTTTTGTCTTTTTGGTGTTTAGAAGAAGGTCTTTCTCTTTACTTGCCTGTTTGATGCGATTCAATAAATCAATCAGATCCTCTGCTGCTGCTGCAAATTACGAGAGTGGTGTCATCAGCATAACTTAGGTTCGTGGTCATAACCTCCAAACTTAACTCCCCCTTGAATCCTTCCAGAGCATTTCTCATAATGTCCTCAGAGTAAATATTAAACAGGTTAGGAGACAGTATACAGCCTTGACATACTCCCCTGCCAATTCCAAACCACTCAGTGTTGCCGTTACTGGTTCTCACTGTTGCTTCTTGGTCATGATAAAGATTTTTGATCAGTTCGATGATGTGACTTAGGAACCCCATCTTTGCCATTGTATTCCACAAATGAGAGTGGTTCACACAGTCAAATGCTTTGCTATAGTCTATAAAGCACAAATAGAGGGGATGTTTGTGTTCTCTGCATTTCTCTAATATGTTTCGAATGTTGACAATCTGTTCTCTTGTCCCTCTACCTTCACGGAACCCTGCTTGCTCATCTGAGATCTCGGCTTGCAGTTTGATTTTCATTCTTCTGCTAATCACCTTCAGAAGTATTATGCTTGCATGACTAATCAAGCTGATCGTTCGATGATTTGCACATTCTTTCAGATCTCCCTTCTTTGGCAATGGTATAAAAACGGCTCTACACCAGTCCTTGGGCCACTCCCTACTATTCCAGATATTGCAACAGAGACGCCACATCAGGTCAGTACCTTCTTCACCTGTAGCCTACCACATCTCGGAAGTCAAGTTGTCAAAGCCAGGGGACTTGCCATCCTTCAGTTGTTTCATTGCAAGCTCCACTTCTGATCTTAATGGAGGGGGCTCCATTTCATCACTTTCCTCCCACTGAGTGTCAACTTGTTCCTGTGCAGCAAACAGCTTGGTACTATACTGCACCCATCTTTCCTTGATGTCTTCATTCGCCGTCAGTGTTTTGCCATTTTCATCATTAATTACATCCAGTCTTGGGATTCTTTTCTTTGTGATTTCTTTCACAATTGCAAATGCTGCCTTAGAGTTGTTCTTGTGACGCTCTAGGTCTTCACACTTCCCCTCGATGTATTTCCTTTTGTTCTCCTTCACACTACTTGTTACCGCCTTATTGAGTCTCGTCCATTCTCCTCTATTGCGTTTTGCTTTTGCCCTCTTCCTGTCATCAGCAATGTCAAAAGTCTGATTTGAGATCCATGGTTGTTTCCGCTTCCTTTTCTTTGGGATGTGATTCTTTGCTGCATTTTCAACTGTTTCTTTCATGTCTTCCCACAGCTCATTTGGTGTTTGCTCTGCTTCATCGTTTCTCAACAGCAGCTCAAACTTGTTCTTCACTTCCACTGAGAATTGAGAAGGGATATTTTCCACATCATACCTTGTGGGAGCTGAATCACATTTCTTAGCTTTTAATCTTAGTCTCAGTTTAGCCATAAGCAGCTGATGATCGCTGCCACAGTCAGCACCTGGTCTTGTCTTGACGTTCTGTAGTGAAGTTCGCCACCTCTTCTTGACCATGATGTAGTCTATCTGGTTTCTGGCTCTGTCTCCCGGACTCATCCACGTCCACAGTCTTCTGGGATGATGCTCAAACAACGTGTTACCAATGGTGAAGCTGTTTGCTACACAAAATTCTTCCAGTCGATCTCCTCTTTCATTTCCGATGCCAAGACCATAATTGCCAATGCACTCAGATCTTTCCCTCGTTTTACCAATCTTGGCATTCCAGTCACCCAATATCATGAGGAAATCTTTCTTAGGAATGCTGTCTACGACAGATCTTGCACCATCTCATAGAAATCAGTGATTTCTTCCTCCGGTGCCTGAATTTTGGAGATATTCATAGGATGCCCTTGTAATCTCACAGTCATAATCCTCTCGTTGATCGGGTTATATCCCAAGACACATTTAGCTGTAGCCTTCTCTATGATGAATCCCACACCCCTTCGCTTCCTTCCACTTTCTTTCCCTCAAAAGATGATTGTACTTCCTTCGTCTGATGTAAATCTGCCTTGTCCAAGCCACCATGATTTAGATATTCACAAAACTTTAATATCATTAATAGCCATCTCCTTCTCCACCATTTCCACCTTCCCATCTGACATACCACGCACGTTCCACGTGGCTACATTGTTCCTTTCTATCATGGGACCCCAAGAAAAGAACTTCCTACAAGAGGCTTTGATCCTGATCCGTCATCACCCGCAAGCGTACTACGAGCAGGACCTCTCTCTTCCGCAGTAGCTCTTGACGTATCTTCCGGCCTGCGGGTTCCACCTTCCGATACCCACTTGATTTTTTGATTTTGTACATGATGACAAACGTGACCAATTAATAATGGTGGGCGGCCAGATCCTTCCATCGCAGTACAGAAGCCAGAAGCATTGATACCGACCTGCCCTCTGCTCCCCCATAGCCACCGTTGTCCAAGATTTGGTACTATAGGTACTGCATCGCTGCTGCCCGGTGCAGGACAGGCTTTATTTGAAGGCGACCCAACCCGCCTTGTCATGTTCTCGTCATAGGGTTATGAGAGTTTTTCTCAAGCTAACTGCGTCACCTATTAGCTCCTCTCCTCTGGTAAGAACTCCGGGATCAGACTAGCACCCCGCTGGAACCCAGCCAGTATTTCTACGGTCTCGGTGCAAATCTAAAAGTCTATAATAACGAAATGAGCGTCCGTTGTCTGTGCCCGCGAGCTTGTGTGGGGAAAAACATGCCTATACAAAATACATTATACTTGTAGCTCTTTGAGATGCGCTGGGACCCCAATTTTTGAAATATTTGGATGGAGTATGAGTTGGAAATATGATAAAATGTCTCATTTGGCCATTTATTATATCGTGACATTATCACGATGGCCTTGGAACTAAAAAAACGAATGTTTATATTATGACGTCAGCATATTTATGGAAAACTGAGTGTAAGTGTGTAAAATTGATCGTTTTTCTCTCAATTTTTGATATGTTGTAGCTGAGACAATTTTCAACACAAAATGTGGCACTTTTTTCATTTTAACAATGGCCCATCATGACCCATTTTAAAGGAGCCATGTCAATGCTCCCAATTTTGTGTGTATTCTCTAAGGGAGGTGGCTTTTTCTGAAATCTTGATTCTACATTCAAGTCTTGTTCGAGCAATATCTTGCCTTATTTTCGCCCGATTTTCTCCCAGCTTCGGATATGTTGTAGCTGAAAAAGTCTTGTACACGACAGTTTTTTTTGGTATGGTTATCAGCATATCAAAAAGTCATTCACCGCCATCAAATTTACGGCAGACAACCAAATTCGTCTCCAGTGACGAATCAAACTCTCGTTTTATGATACTATTCAGGTTGGATTAAAGTACAATGGACCTCTACACTGCCGGAATATGAGGTGCCCAAGTTCGATGATTTCCTTGGTTTGTTTTTACATTCAAAGCTTGTATCGATCACATTCAAATAAAAGAGTTTGGAAGAAATGTATATGATATAACCATAATATAATATAAATTCTTGTACAGCACATTATCATATAGTTCGAAAACATATGTATCATAATAAACCCCTTTTCATGATTGTCTCTAATACAGCTTGTACCGCTGGCCAAAGAGAGAATGACGGATCCTGTTATTACTTCTCGCAAAGCAGGTCAAACTTCGACACGTCAAAATCATCCTGTGACGACCTTGGAATGCATCTTGTCTACATCGGATCAAAGGACGAACAAGAATTTCTTGCGAATAACCTCCCCGCTCCAAATTTCGATTACTGGATAGGATTATCCAGTGTGACTTGGCTGGACGGTTCGAGTCTGACCTACTCCAACTTCGCAGCTGATTCACATATCATCAGTAACAACGGGATGTGTTTCGTTATAAACCGAGATAAGTCATACCAATGGTTGGATGATGATTGTAATATCGAGCACCATTACATCTGCGAGAGAGAAGAAGGTGAATATGTAGTGATGATCAATAATAGTTTTAACAATATCAGTCTATATAGTTTATTTTTCAAGGGTTTTTCATGTTTTTTTTCTTCAGTGATATACGGAAAAGTACCTACATTCACCTTATCCGATGCACCAGGATATACATGTACGTGTAGTTGTCTTGGATTTTAACTAGGAAGCAAATCCTTTTTTGATGATAAGAACATTAGTAGGAACATTTTTGTTTAATGTGTTCCAGTCTCCCCTAGCCCACCCACACACACCTGTAAACATGGGTTATGTCTTTAGCAATTGGCGTTGTGTCGACTTACCTATACTACGCTAATTAAACCTAATATTTGCATTGGTTGTACGGTGCCACTATCCCACGGCGCGTCAAAGACCACACAAATCACTGACGCAGTAACAATAACGCCTCGTGTGTCATTACAGAGATGTATATGTTTACTCGTTACATTCATTACAGCACCTCTGGGCAGACGCGTACGCAGGATTTTTTCAAAGGGGGGGGGGGGGGGGGGGTAAGAGGACACTTTATTATTTTTTTTCGGTCTCGAAATTTGAAAATTTGACATTTTGCTCTGTTGGGGGGGGGGGGGGGGTTAAGGTCACCTTTTTTTAGGTCAGCCATGGGATTTTTTTAAATATTTTTTTTTTTAATTAAAAAAAAAAAAAAAAAATCCAAAGGGGGGGGGGGTTTAGGGGGGTTATGGGGGGGGGGTTACACACAGAAAAATAACAAAGGGGGGGGGGGTTTAACCCCCCAAACACCCCCCGTGTACGCGCCTTCCTCTGGGTATAACCCTACAACCTAAAAGTTCAGCGACAAATAATTTGTCTGATGGGGTATAATTCATTGCAGCTCTTTACTTTATCACTAATTTACAATTAATTTGTTAAAAGTCAAACTCATATTTTGTATTTTATCTTTAACTTAATAACCTTTGGAACAGGTCACACGAGCTTCAAAAACTTCCGACTCCTGGCCAGCAATGTCGCCCACATCGATGCCTATGTTCTGTCATCATTCACGGTTTCGTCCATGATCGAATGCAGTCAGTTGTGTCTTACCGATGTCCGTTGCTCGTGTTATACTTTCATCGCCTGCAAGGGTTTGTGCTTACTCGGCGAAGAATGTCTTGCGACGTCTACATTCGCTTTTGAAAGGCGAATCGGAGCTACATTCTATTCGGCACTTCTTGAAGATTAGGATTGTTTCTAGAAAGCATGTAGCTGTGAATACGCGCGCTGCTAGACCACTTGGAAACTGAGGGTGGAGGATGGCAAAATAGTAATTTAAAATCGTCCCGGAACACAACAATTAGGAAACAAATATTTTGAAAGGTGCCAATTACAGAGATTTTGTTAACAAAACTAGAAGAAATACATTCGTCAGATAAACGAATTGGCCGACAACGGATACAAAAAAAAAAAAGATTTCAGAAAAGTTGGGATGAACAAAAAGTAGTTGTGTTGTCGTTGTCGTTGCGATTTGCAGACACTGCTAGAAAGGGGAGGGATGTTACCCCCTTTACTAACGGCCCTGCTTATGTAGCTATTTAGAGGCCATGTGCAGTGATTAATGATAGTGTGAATATATAGTGTGTACATATTTCACTCCTGGATATTCTGCAGAGACGTTAATTTATAATCCACTATGTAAATATTCGGTAAGTATTAAATTAACACAGATTTGCAAAAATGATTCAAATATCGACTTAAGACTAAAAGATAATTCACTTCTAATTTTTTACACCGGCGCAAGTGATTTTGTTCATCACAACATCAGGTCACTGTTAGTACCTTGCTTTTCAAAAGTGGATTAAAAAATTGTGTGAGTGTGTGGGTGTGTGTGGGGGTAAAGGGCTCATCAAAAAGCTATATGGCTTTAAATGAATTGGATGAAAAAAAAGAACATTCCACAGATGGTCGGTCTTATGAACTAATCACCTAACCGCAACATGCTTAACAGAAATTTGCGACTTTTTATATAAGAATTGGAACTTTGATGACGATAAATTTGTTGGCGCTGCATTCCTTGACCTTAGACTAAGCTTTTGACGCTTTACCCCATGACTTGCTTTTGTGTTAAAAAGCGTACCTTAGAGTTGAGTTGAAATGTTTTGAATCTTTCGTAACAGGCAGCAAGCTATATGTATTTTTTAAAGGAAAAAATAAATGACTTTCTCCCCGTCCGAATAGGGGTCCCACAAGGGTTCATACTAGGATCACTTCGTTATATGTTCATGAATGGTATCTCGAATCTAAATTTTAATCCACATACTCACATTCTCACTTTATGCGGACGATAAAGCTGTATGTAATTCAGGTTTACAATCAAAATAATAAGCTCAATGAATGTTTTTAAAATAATGGAATGATTATTAACTCAGACCAAAAAAATCCCCCAAAAATCATCCCGTCGGCAAAGAAACACTTTTGATTTTCTGATATTTATAAATGGTTCATTACTAGAAACTTAAAAACATTGGTGTTATTCTCGAATACAATCTTAATTGGGCAGTACATGTTGATGAAGTAGTTATGAAAATGGTTCGATCAGTTGCATGTATACGCAGGAGTGGACCCTATTCGTGAGAAAATATTTATCGGCGAAACAGCCGGCAAATAAGCGGGGGGGGGGGGGGGGGGGGGGGGGTAGTGCGCACTAATTTTGTTTTGCTCAGCCGGGGAGGGGGTTATGGGTGGGGGCCCGTCTTCTTTTTTTCTTTTTAACTTATTTTGGGGGGCAGGGGTGGGGGCCTGTGTATACGAAGAAGCAAGTCTTGTTTAACTAATGACAATTTTAAACAATTGTATTTTACACTCATACTTTAGCACATTTACTATTGTTGTACTGTTTGGAGCTCTTTAACATAAAAGGAAATATTGAGGATAGAAAGATGTCAATACAAATAAGCTTGAATGGTTTTGAATTCTTACTATAATGCACCATCATGAGGACTTCTTCACTCACTTTAGTGGCAGCCAACTGTACAAAGAACAAGCTTTCATTTTGTTTATGGTGTACAAGTTACTGCACAACTTTGCCCCACAATACCTCTGTAATCTATATACTTAGTATCTAAACGTTATGTCGCCTCCTGTACTCGATATATCATTTCTTGCCAATAATACTTACCGAAACCAAGAACTGAACATAGAAAATGCTCCTTCTCATATACTGCAAGCGAACTTTTTAATTCACCAGCAATGCTTGTTTAAATATCACCCACATTAGATATGTTAAACAAACCTACGGTTACAACAGGGATCTATTTTACGATATCGCAATAACGAAAGCCAATTGATTTTATTTTATATTAACAAGTTCTATGTAAATCTATCATAACACTGCTGTACATTTATGCTTTAGTTGCCATGTATTTTATGTATTTGTTTGTTTGTTTGTTTTTATGTAGTATTTTAACTTTATACATTATAATATCCACTTGATACAGGGCCCCTTGCGAAAGCAGGCCTTGCGGCACTGAATGGGCTACCCTGTGTTTTTAAAGAAGACTAAATAAATAAATGTTTGCTTGCTGTTGATCTGAGAAAAATTGTACGAGCAACATCGCGGGTCTTTCTTTATCTTTATTCAATTGTTTATCAATACAATTCTCTTGAAGAAAAAAATCTGTTTCAGTAGTTGTCATATAAAAAGAATATATAATCATAATATCTGTTGTTTGTGCGTTAAAGGACTGCTTAATCAGCCTTTTGTGAAACAGCAAGAGAGAGAGAGAGAGAGAGAGAGGGGGAGAGAGGGAGAGAGGGAGAGAGGGAGAGAGAAGGAGAGAGGGAGAGAAGAAGAATGGGGAATGCAAAGTTACGAATATAAAAAAGTTTGAATGCACACCAAAAAGAATAATCATTGGACTTGTCACTAGAAAACAATAAATTACATAACTGCCAAGCATATCAAAAGAGGAAGGAAATATATTCAGAAATTAATTAGCAGGACGGAGGGGGGGGGGGGGGATTAACTCCCTCCTGACTGGGGAGATTGAATGTACCTTTAATACCAGCCCCACAATTCAATTCAATTCAATTCAAGGTTTATTAAAAACATGTGTCGGAGCCCAGTGGCTGAATTGGTCATGTGTACAATTAAAAACATTCAATGCATATTCAAACAACACAGTTACAATTGATTTGTCAATATTGAAATATATATAGTTAAATGATAAGATTGCTTGGGCAGCAAAAATAAGAAAACAGAATATAACATGAAGTCAGGAAAACGGAAAAGAGAAACATGAAGGAAAGAAGTAAAAGAGGAAGTTGTAGAAAATGCATGTACATCAAAAAAATATAAATTGCATACATGTATTTTTAAGAGAGTCATTGAGACAATATACGAATATAAAAAATAGAAAAGAGCATTATTCTTTTCATAACATTGTTGAAGTTTGTTATTGCAAGTATTTGTGTTATTGGCGGATACCGGCGCTATATAAATAACCATATTATTTGTTATTATTTATTTTCATTGCTTAGAAAAATGATATAATAAAAAGAAAACAATTATTGCACTCTAACATTCCTTTTCCTTCAGATATATTGTGGCTATTGAAGGGAAAAGGAAAGGAATTGTGTAAATTTGGTTTATAATTATCTTAAGAAGAGTAAAAATCAGGAAACTTTAACATCTGTGAAAAGAGTATAATACAAATAGAAAAATTTATATTAATTTATCTATTTTTATTAATTGGGCTTGGCTTTATTGAGAAGATCGACAAAGTAAGGTATGGGGCTATTTCGGAAACGATTGGTTTTGCTTGAACTGTTGATATCTGGATGCATGGCGTAAGCAGGCGCGTAGCCACGGGGGGGGGGGGGGGGGGGGGGCACGGGGGGGGGGGGCACGTGCCCCCCCTAAAATTTCCAGGATCGGTTGAAATTTTGTAGACCCCTTTTTTTGACCTCGATCGATTACATGTATGTGCCCCCCCAAACATCAAACTCTGGCTACGCGCCTGGGCGTGAGGAGATGGGTACGTTTTTCCGGAAAGGTATCCAGGTACTACATGATGGGTGTTTAGCTAAGGATGTAGCGAAATCCAGACAAAGCTTTACCCTTCTGGATTCAAGCGTTGAAAGATCACATATTTGGCAAGCATTGGTACAATTTGTGTATCGTGGACCCAGCATGATTCTACATACTCTTTTTTCAACTTGCTCCAAGATTCTTATTTGTTTCTGGGTAAGCCCACCATTAAAAACGGGGGTACAGTATTCCTTGACAGGACGAATGTAACCGGTATATACCATTTTCAAATCAGCTAAAGACAGTCAATATCGTTTCAGAAACCTAAACATATTCAACTTTCTGTTACATTTTTTGAGGATTTCAGTGACATGGAGATCCCATTTCAGATTGGATTGTACAATGATACCAAGAATTTTGACAGATTGGAAGTTTTGCAGGGGTGAGTTATCAATATATAAAGTTGGCATGGCAGGGGGTTTTTGGAGAATGTCACACTTAGTGAAAAACACTTTGAAGGATTTAACTTGACGTGATTTTGACAGGACCACTGACCCAAATTGTAAAGGACAGCTGGTAAGTCAGAGGGTTCGGTTACTTTACGACATTCCAACAAAGTAAGATCATCTACGTATTTATAACAATCGACTTGTATGTTTTCATAAGCATCGTTGATCATCATTAGGAAGAGGATTGAGCCCAATTTAGTTCCTTGGGGTACACCAGCATAATTAGGTAAGTATTGAGATAGAGTGCCTTGGTATTTGCATTACGTCTATGGTATTTGACACACTGTTGATGGTATTCCAAAAACTAATAATCCATTCAATGATGCATGGCCGTACATTGAGTTTGATCAATTTTCTAATAAGAATGTTATAATCCAGCCTGTAGAAAGCTTTGGTGGGTCGGTACACACAACAGTGGATAAGCTCTTACTCTTTTCACCATTTTCATAGAGATTGTGGAGTAAAATGATGGAGACAAACTCCAAGTTCTTTTGTTCTTTCTTGGTAGTCAAGCAAGGGGGCTGATGTTGACGTGATTCTATGTTGGATACGCCGTTGCTTGCTCCTCAAAAGAAGTTCTTCAAAAAACTCTTTAACTTTTCAGGACTTCTTTAGAAACTTTTGCAACCGAAAATATAAGCAAAAGCAAAATCAACTGTTTTGGACAAAAGGGTTCCGGCTTTGCTCATTTTTTTAGTTTGCAGTATAGAAGGATCTATTGGTTTGAGTCTATCGTGTGTTAATATCCTAACTGCCGCAATTAAGGTAATTTTAGAGACGGAATGTTTAAAACAATACAAACACGCAACTGATTTGTATGAAGGTTGAAGGACATACAGTCTTATACAAAATAAAAAATATATGACATCTGTTTTCACATGACTATTGCTCGCAGTAGAAGCTATCAGTTAATTGTGCATCGCCTCATTCCCCTTACTGCTTCCCTCAGATAAAAAAAAAACACAGGCACATGTAAAAAAAAAAAATGTTTCTACTAATGTAAAGGAGAAGGGGAGGAACTACGGCACAGAAGGATACAACATGTAATTACCACCATTATGAAAGAGAAGGGGGGGGGATCTGTCCCTTGTCAACCGAATGTTTGACTTTCCTGTCTCAATAGAATAACATTTTTAAACATGAATTCTTCGTGCTCAGAAATAAAAATAAAAAATTTAAAGAATATCTGCACTAGTTTTGCCAGGAGGGATTAGACTTCCCTGCGTGGTCACTGGCAGGTGGTTATCTCATCAAATCAGATTTTAATTAACAATAGAAAAGGGTTCCATGGGGGATCAACTGGTAACGCTTATGCATTGTTGGCCATATAGAGGGCGCAAGTATAGCTACAAGTAGTACAGTCCCGATTTATTGTCTAAATACAGTGCACTATGCACTAGCGTCCAGGAGACTACCTCCGTTTAAAAATGGCTGAATGACAGGATGAATGTCAATAGGCACTGATAATCGACAGTTTCAACTTCTTGTGAATGCCCTTGTGGCAATTAATATATGTAAAGATAATCTGTGTATGACTGATAGGCAATGCAATGTACACAAACTGATACAATATCATACCATCTCTAAAATATAAGAAATATGTAAAATGACTGCATGCTTATACCTTGATTAAGTAAATCACATTTCGTGCGTGACCATAATGAATGAAAAAGTCGCTTATTGCAATTCACTCACTCATACAGATTAATCATTACAGTATAGCAATAGAAAGAAATACTTGACAATCACAGCCTCATATTTTGTAAGTAAAGAATTGATTTTAAACCGATATCATTCTCTATCCAAAAACATTTTCTACCCTTCTTCGATCTGATATACTTCCATGTAACTCGAATGAACACGTTACGAAATTGACTGCACATTCGCGAATTGTAATGCCCAAGATAACCCTTCATCTTCTGCCGACGGAGTTGAATAAACCTTTGCGCATGCGCCAGACGGACTGAATTCGAAAGATAAAAGTGCTGCATTCCTTGTTCGATACGATAAATGTAGTGACTGAAGTACATTTTTAAAAGACAGTCGCCGTAAAAAATGCTGCTTGCACTCAATTGAAAGA